ATCGAATGTCCTTCTAATGTGCCTTGACTTATTTGAATGATCTTTTAAGTTTTGAAAATTATATGTATGCTAAATGTCCTTCTAATAAACTTATCTAATATTTAAATGAGATCAACAAATTTGTTTTGAAGTTTATCTATTTTTTTAAAATGATTTGACCTACTTAGTACTTAAGTCTCTTTGAAGTCTAGAACAAGTTTATTATTTTCATATATCAACTTTATGTTTTCCTTAATGAGTTTCAATACCTCATTTTCTATAATGTAACATGTTAGTTTATTTGATATTCCTTCTTTTGATATTGTTGACATTATCAATTAAACAAATATTTTTATAACTCATTTTTCATATAAATCAAAAAATATTATATATGACATTACCTTTTCACATATTTTATATAAATCTTATTTGGATTCTTGATTAGACTAATCTTCATAACTGACATATGGCATATATGACATTTTTCTTATTGACCTTTTTCACATTTTAAGTCACTACAATTGAGGTCTTCTTATGTGGATAACAAACTTCTCTTCTCCTAAAATTTTTCTTCCTTTTAGATTTGGTGACTTAAACTTAATGTACTTAGGTTCTATGCATTCAAAACAAATTATATCAGTCTTAAATATAAGCATTTTTTTTATCTTAGATTTTTATTCTTTAGTGAGGGTGGGCCTGAGCCTTCTTCCTTTTCTTTTCATTAGTGTTTTAGTCTCTTGAAGATAAAGGATAATTCATTTGCTGAGTCATAAGTATTAAAATTAGATGATTTTGTTTATTCATTATCTTTCAATTAGTTACTTTCTCTGAAACTTTTTCATCATTGGCTTTGAAATTAATAATTTATCCTTTCTTCCTTTCACTTTTCTAATTTCTGTACTACTTAAGAATTCTAAGTGAAGTGAGAATTTTCTTGGAATTCATTGAAGTTCAATCTTTTGCTTTCTGTACGACAACAAATTTAAGTTCCTCTTCATTTAGGATGTTTTCAAAACTTTCAAATTATTTTCTTCAATAGTGAACTATTTTTCAAGAACTCTCAAACTAGTCAGCAAAGTTTGGAATTCCTATCATTTTCTCAATAATTTTTCCTTTATTCATTCTAAATTATTGATATTGATGAACATTTATGCTTGCTTTTGTTCATTTAACATTATTGGTTTCTTCATGAGTTAGTGCTAGAGTATCCTATATTTTTTTAGATGTCTTACAATAAATACATTATTTAGTAGTAGATAATGTACATACAACAAAACATCTAGCTTTTGCATTATTCTATTATGTATTGTTCATTGATCTTCTAGTTTTGAGTTGCTATATGCATCAATAAGAAGATTATGATCTTCATTTTATATGATACTTAGAGGTTAAATTGTGTGAATTTGATGAGTATCATCATCCTATTCCTTTAAAAGGAATAATTATTGCCAACGAAGGTAAAAGGTATTGAAACATGTCTTCTATTAGCAACAACTTTGTTTTATTTATTTGAGACATTTCTCTAAATATATTTTCCTCTTTCACTTTTAGGTACTCAAGCTTAAAGGGTTGAGTACTTAGACCAACAAAAGTTTTGAGTTAGAAAACAAGATAAAAGGAATAAATTTATGCTCGTAAATATGTTTTTGAACTTAGAAATAGGTTATTTTTTTTAAAAATAATTAGATCAATTTAACTAAAAAGTAGTTAAATCAAAGAGAAGAATGTAAGTAAAAAAAGTAAGAACGCTTAACAATTTATAGGTGTTGATCATAATTAATAGGGTTTCATCTATTCCAGATTTGTCTCATTTTTCACATAGGACTAATTCAAGTATTGTTGCACAAGTGTTCCTTAGCTTAAATAATTTTAAGTATTATTGTTTACAAACACTTCTTTTAAGGCAAACATTCACTCTTATATTTTGTTTAAGTCTTTGTAAAGTTTTTCTACACATTTAAAAATATTGAACTTTTTGAAAAAAAAAACTTTAAATGCTTTGATAATTTAAAGTTTATATGTCTTAATCTCTCTTCTCTTGTTTATCTATACAAGCATTTATTCCTTGCTGATTGCTACTAAAGACCTTGTTCCTTTCATTTTGTGGTCTTAGTTATAAGAACATAGACCATTTGCTTGTATTTGTCATGAGCATTCATTGTTCAAATATAATTTATTCACCCTTTTATGTTGATATGTACAATTGAAATTATTTGATATTTAGACGCTCATTTTTTTGATCCTTTGTGATTAATTTTAAGAATATTATGGTTTAACTCTATTAAAGTAATGTTTTTGCAATAAAAAAATTAATTTTAACTTTAAATATTTAAAAGTGATAACATTTTCTTAAAAAAGGTATTTATAAAAAAAAAAGAGAAAACACAAAGCATAATAAGAAAATCACAATAAAAATTTATCATGTTTACGTGTTTAAAATTAATTTTAAAAATTAATATTAATGAAACTGAAAAAAAAAAAAAAAATCACTTTTACCAAACGGAGCTAAGAAAGAAACCCCCAACCCGCTAATTGTATTATTCTGGGATATATAGAGAGGGGGAGAGAGCAGAGCACAACATAGGGTGGGGATTCGGTGTTGGGAGAGGATGGCTGGGTGTCATATTTGATGGTCCTGAGGTGAGTTGAGTTAATTGAGCATTCTCATTGTCTTCACTGCCTCAAGATAGAAGTAGCTAATGCCCCCAAAAGGACAATACAATTGAGTGCTCTATTATTAGTTACTGGTCATGTCCTGTGTCCTGTTATTTTATAAATATATTATAATACACATTTTAATATATCTTTTTGGTAAATGTTTATTTATATTTTTAAAGTATCAATTAAAATATTTTAAATATTTTTATTAAACTTTTATCAATGTTTCCTCTGTAATTTTTAATATCGCATCGATATGATTTTTGATAAAAATATTTTTATTTTTTATTAATGTTTTAACAACATTAGTCAGTAGAATTATATTCCTTTTAGAATTATTATTATTTTCTGTCCATCATTTTAAGGTTTTAACGCAAGAATTAAGGAATAATTTTACTGTTCTCGTTTTTACTGAAATTACGATATAATTCGTGTTATACCCTTTTATTTATTTTATTAATTACTTTTTTATTTTAAGTTTATGATTCAATTGATAAAATAATTATTATTATTCTCGTAAACATTTAAAAGTGATAAATAAAGAAGAATAAATAATTTCTTAAGAAAAACAAAGGGAACATATTTTTTGTTATTATTTTCAATATTTCACATCTTTTGGTGTTTTTGAGATTTACTTATATTTCCAAACTTTTGTTATTTTAAAATTTAAGATTGATTTATTTTTTCTACCTATACCCTTATTTAATATTGTGAATAATTATTTCAATTAATTATTATAATTATATCTCTCATTTATCGTTTCCTTATTTTACTTATGAAAGGTAATTCATTTTTCAGAAAATTAAAGAATAATAAAGTAGGTATAGTTCTAGTTTATGGTATTTTATTTAATATATAATAAAATTATACATTAATTAAATATTTCTTAATCTATATCGATAACCTTAACAGCAAAAGATATAGAAATTTTGTGAACTTGTACAAATTTGAATCGGTAATAGTGTAATAGCAGCACCTTTCTCCTTTATTAATTATTTGGTGGGTTTCAATGGCAAATGAAAACATAAATAAAAGATGAAAGATCTAAATTTAAATTTCTCTAAGTTTGAATCATAGATTTTTATTTAGTTAATTAATGATAATATCAGGCGCCTCTATCTACTTTGCTTAAATTATGCGGTCCATGCCATTGAATTTATGGTGATTGCAATCTTCCTGAGTTCCCATCGTGTTTGCACAAGTGGGATTTCGTTGTATTTCTTCAATGGGACATTTGAGCTCTTAAATGGGAGATTTGCCTAATCTTGTCGTTCAAGTAGTAGTGTTTAGGTAAGTGTTTGTAATATCTTTGAATGAAATTTATTTTATTTAAAAGTAAGTATAAGGTAATGTGAGTAAAATTTGATGTAATTTTTTAAATCAATATAAATAATATAATTTATCACTTTTGTGAATTTAGAGGCAAAAATAAATTTATCACAATAATTAAATATGTTTACGTCGATTCAACATAAAACTAAAATTTAAATGTGTTTCCAAAGGCTATATAATAAATTTTGTTGTTGTTGTTGTTGTAGATTTTGTAAGAATACGAAACAACAATTAGTAAGTTACTACTAACTAATGTAGTTTAAATGAAAAAGAGGGTTAAACTTAAAGTCTTAAACAAAAATGCAAAAACCCATATTTCTTAGTCATAAAGCTATCCGCTGTACTAATTAGGTCAATAAGGAGATGTTTAAAAAAATTATAAAAAAATTATAAAGTAAAATGTTAATCGAAAATAAATAATATTTTATTTTGGGTATTGAAAAATAAATAATATGCGCAGGCAAAATTTCCCAGGCTGATGATAATAGGAGTGGTGATGAGTGATAAGAACAAAGTGCCAGAAATTTTTGAGTCCAAGAAGGAAAGTGGTCCTACATTGCTTATTAGGGAAGCAACAAGTCCAGTGGTGTTGGACTTGGAACTTGCGTTATCCACTAAACTAACAAGTTCGATATTAATTAGGTCTGCCCTACTTATGTACTGCATTGTTTTATAATAATATATATAACGATATCAATTTTTCACGCCCAAGAATATCCTTTTTCCTACCCTCATTTTCTTGACCCCCCAGAAGAAATTATCAATTGATTAATGAATAAATGTTTGAAATTCTTGCATTATCACAATTTTTTCAAAAAAAAAATCTCAATTTTTTTCTTTCATGCTTGCAACTCTCATAGACATGTATGTACAAACAATTTAGGTGTGGTCTGCTACATGTCCCCACATCCATGTGACTGTGTTTCGCTTACTCAATTTCTCTTTTTTCATGCTCACCTATGTCCATCGATAAATGGCTCTCCCCCCTGACCCATGAATCACACACTTCTGCTCTTAAGCACCCTCAAAAGACCCTCTCAACTTATGCAAAGATTCAATTCAAAGTCACTTGGACGGGTGCAAGAGCAACAAAATGGCCATAAGGAAATCCAATAAGCTACCCCAAACAGATGTTATCAAGCAAATTCTCAAAAAGTGCTCAAGTTTTGGTAAAAAACAAGGCTACAACGAAGAGGGTCTTCCTGAAGATGTACCAAAAGGCCACTTTGCAGTCTATGTTGGTGAAAACAGGACAAGATATATTGTCCCAATTTCATGGTTGGCTCACCCACAGTTTCAAAGTTTGCTCCAAAGAGCTGAAGAAGAGTTTGGCTTTAATCATGATATGGGCCTTACCATCCCATGTGATGAAGTTGTTTTTGAGTTCCTTACCTCAATGATCAGATAAGAAGGAAGGACTAGGCATTTTGATCAGTTATGAGGCTTATCAACATAAATCCAAAACTATTAGCCCTTTGTGTCAAGTGGCGGTTCTGAGTCTAAGGAACTATAAACATTTTTACGTTTGGTATTGTACTTGTATATACATAGATGCCAAAGAAAATTTCCTTGACCATGTCATTTGTTTCCTTGATTAATGAGTAAACATTTCAACCAAGCAATGATATTCATCGGGCTATTAATTGCTCCATAAATGGAAATTCGCAATGGTTTCTATCAACCAAAGAATTTAGACATTCAAATCTGTCAAGGGTAAAAGAAGCTCTCTTTCCTTATTCTTTATTATCTTGCACAAGAATGAATATTGAATATGTTACGATATACAACTACAACAAATTTTAAGAACACTAAAATATCGATATAATAATATATATTAAGTAAATATATCTTTCCTTTTACTAAAATATGGTTACAATATTTTAAAATAATACTTTTTTAAAAATTAAAATAAATCTTAATAAGGATAACACAGTTATGTACACCTGCAGTTCTCTCAGCTACCATTATTCCCAGCAAAAGTGAAACCATGAGATTCTTACCTGAAACTTCTCATCATAACATGCAAAAAGTTAGCTTTCCAGTTTCCAGAGAGAAGTGTGATGGAGGGACAAGTATTATTCTACAAGTTCCTGTTTCTCAAATCCCAAACAAGATTTGGGTGGCACTGTGTACCATTTTTGTTTTAATATTCTTGCTTCATTATCTCGTATCAACAAATGTGTATTTAACAGTAGGATACAACATTATGATACTACGACTTTGAGTAGTGTAACAATTTGCTATTTAAAACTGCAGGTGTACACATATCTAATTGGTACCTTGTGGAAAAGTAGCCAGAATTCTGAATTTTCTAGCATGGGAAAAAAAAGGCTCTGACTCAGAGCCACCACATCAAGTATTAACAACTTATTGCTTTCTCAGCTAACAATACCTTAACTCCAATAAACTGAAACAGTAAGAGTTCAAAGTTCTCATGCCAAGGCATGATTAAGGAAGTTAGAGAGTCTTAATCCAAATATGGATATTATGGATAATAATGCTTCATTTACTCTTCCAACCTACATATAGGACAAAATACTTGTCCATACGTTTAGTACAGACATCGTTTCCTTCTCATAACCCGAGAATTTTAGTGCATGACATTGGAAATAAGTGCCCACACAACAGTCCTCACAAACTACATAATTAATTGATCACTATAAATTATAGACCTATGACAAACACATGCTTAATTTTTGTCCATTTGATGTACATATAAATGGGACCTCATTGTCTATCATCGAGTAAGCCCTCTGGGGTCTGCATATATTAAACCCTGAATCCTTTTGTCCTTGTTTGCCCAACAAATAGTAACAAGTTGTGAAAACATGGGAATTAGAACATTTATCTATTTATTTTTAATTTTGATATTGTAAGGCAGCGCTATGAACAAGTGGGCTTTGTGACAGGGAGTCCCAAAGTGTCCAGTCTGAGTCGAACCATGGTCCTATATACATTTGTCGACAACTTTATTTTTGGTTACTGATTAATCACCATTAATGTCGTTTATAGGTCTGCTTTTATAGTGGACAAGGAATTAGGAATTGATTCATCACTTTATAATTATCTAAGCAGTAAACATAATGATTATTAATTATGTATAGTTATACTCTCTCCAATTATTTTCATGAGAAACAATCATTACAATTTTTTAATTATAAAAGGAAGACTTATTTTAAGTGTATTAATTCTTATATTTTTTATATTTTTAGTTATTATGAAATTTGTGTTAATTGGAGACTTACCCATTAACTATATCAGTGAATATATTTATTCATCTAATATATGAGTTATCAGTTTAATCATTTATTATTTTTATACTTTTAAAATACACGACAAATTTATGAGATATCACTATCTTCTATAGATATTAATGAATTATATTTGTTTTTATAAAATGTACTAAACTAAGTAATTATTACATGAAAGAAAGAAAAGGCTACAAATTCAAATGAAAACAACCCTATCCATGGAGGACCATGTTGACAAGTTAACTACTTTAATTTAGTTCACCTGTTAACGTTGGCATAGCATTCAATGATGAATTATTGAAGGTAATAATGGGTTTATTGATTTTTGCAAGGTTTTGGATAGATGAAGTTCGCATTACCTTTTATATGACACTTGACTGGTGGAATATTGCGCTTTTAAGATGCAAGTTCTACGTCTTCAATTAAGATGATTTGTGGGTGGGAACTAGAGACAAGGGTGAAGCTTCTATAAAAAGAGGATGAGGAACACTCATGATTTCCATATATGATACACCAAAAGAAAAAGGTAATTTTCCGAGGAAGTCAACATAGATACTAATGCTTTAGTTTATTTGAATGCGTGAAGCATGAGCTTTTATGGGCAGAATGTTAAGTGTTGACCTATATAATAACAACATATTCATATTTTTTATTTTTTAAACTTAATTAATAATCATTATTTGCCTGAAGTAAAATAGGTTTATTATGTTTTGAGAGAAATAAATGTATTGTGATTTTTCTAATAATACATGATTTTATCGTTTTTTCTTATAACATATTGACCCCGTATAAAATTTTAATTTCCAAAACAATTCTTAAATTACTATCATTATTTTTTAAAAAAAATTAACATCATTGATTTTAAGCATTTAAAAACAGAAAGATCTTATAATGGATTTGCCTTAAACCCATACATGATTTTATTGTAGTCTTTGATCTTATATTCAAAAGTTTAGGAGTAGTATTATTCATCAATCCAATATTTTATACTTTTTTTTGTTAATACTGTTATTGTTTGTATATCGTTATTCTGTACTGTACCAAACTCCTACATTTCCTGTAAAAGTAAGCATTTATTAAATAAAAATAAAAGAACAATGAATATTTTTTAGTAAAAAATATTATTATTGTACATTTAAAATTAATTTTAAAGCTTTATATTAACAAAATTACCTTTTATGATCTTAAACACTACTTTTATTTGTATAAAATTTCTAAGGTCAATAAACAAAGCACATACTCAAAATAAAATAATTAAAATTTTCGATATATATATATATTCTTTTGGAACAAATAAATAGAGAGATGGAAGTAATAGTACTAGCTAGGTGGTATTAGATTTCATGATACGAAATCAACTTTTATACTCTAACTGAATTTATTAGTTTGGTTTAAATTTGAGTAGAAATTTTGAAACGTTAATTATGACTAATATACATGTAAAACTTAATCTAAACTACATTTTTTGTTTTTAATAGAATGTGTATTTTATATTCAAAAGTGTAAAAAATATATATTTTTAAACTTTTAAACAATCAGCTTGTTAGAACAAATCTTGTATAAAGATTGTTGGTCACTAAAAATTTTGATGACAACACAAGTATTAAAATATATGTTATCCCTTTTTAAAAATTTAATTTTTGTTAATGTGATGATAAAAATTAAAAATTATAAGAATTATGTGAAAAATTGTCTAATATAATGTTTGAAGATTGTCTGATTATATTTTTGAAACTTATTTTAAAATTGTCTAAAAATCGTTCAAAGCCTCCTCTATTTTGAAAAAAAGAATTTGAAGAAGAGATTTTTATCATTTAATTACAACCTCCTATATTTAAAAGGAAGAGAATGTCAAAAGTTATGTTAGAAAAAAAAATCTCACAATTGACTTAAAGAGAATATTTGCTTGACCAGCTTGATAAAAAATATATACACGTAATCTATAAATATTCATATTATTTAGTAAAAATAAGTAAAGAGGAACCAAATAATAAATAATAAATTTTAGAAAATAAAAAATAATTAAAAAGACATATATAATCAATAAAAATTATAAAGATATTTTATAAATAAGAATCATTATTTTTATTTTTTTTATTTTAGTTAATTTAGGAATATACATAATAAAATTAAAATAATCAAAGTGTAAGAAATATATTTAATTTTTTATTAGATATTAATTTTATTATAAATAGTGACTAACCTACGTATAAGAAAAAATTTTAAAAAAGAGAATTTTTAGAGGAAAAATTTTTTAGACAGATTTTTTTAGGAAGAATTTTTCAGAGAAATTTTTTAACATAGTATACAAAAAGAGAGATATAATATAAGAAAAAAGTATGACTTTTGATTTCCTTTTTATTTTGTCTATTTTTCATTGTAAATAGAAACATTATACTAATGTCTTATTACACAACTGTTTCTTCACTTTCTCTTTTGTTATTTTATTTTTTTCTCTCTTTGTTTGTAATGCCTTTTCTTTATTTGTGTGTGGTTACCTCCTACTTTTCTCTTCTTTTTTTAGTTTCTCTTCCTCAACCAAAACCTACCTACCGCACAAAAAAATAAAATAGGAACATTTTTCAATTAAACATTCTAATTATTTTTTTTTTAAAAATAAAATATAAAGATTAATTTTTTTTATTAAATATATCAAAAATAAAAAATATTTTTTAGTAAAAATATAAAAATTGAAATAAAATAATTTTTAATTTTTTAGGTTATTAAATCTTTCAAAATGAAATATAAAAAAAAATTAGAATGTTAAATCATTTTCAAAATAAAGTCTTTTTTTTTTTTGTGAAAGTCAGTTTTAGGTGTTAAATCCTTTTTAAAAATAAAAAATATACAATAATAATAATAAATAAATAAATATTTTTAGGTGATTAATTTTTTTGTTCCAAAATAAAATATAAAATTTATTTCCAAAATAAAATATAAAAATATGTTTTAAGTTATTAAACATTTTTGTTAGTTTTCAAATAAAAAATAATACATAAAAAATTTCTTTTTACCAAATTACTTTGTTTTCAAGATAAAATATAATTTGAGATTAAGGATTCTTTTGAGATCTCAAATCTTATTTTTGCTTATGATGATAACAACTTATATATGAGGCCCATTTTCAAAAACAATAAATAATAAATTAAAAACAAAAAATAAAAAATAGAAAAACAAAAATAATTTATTTTAAATATCTAGTGCAAATAATTTTAAATATGAACTCAAATATTTATTTT